GCCGACCACGATTCCCACATGCAACGGCAGCCGATCGGCCCGTCAAATTATGGGGGGAGGGCCCAAGGGCACACGGACCTAGCAGCGACAACAGCGGCCGGGCAGGGGGCAGAGGTCACACCAGCGCCCCAGCGGACGGCCATGGAGAGACCTAAGCCAATCGCCCGCCAGCAAGCAGGTCAGAGTGCGTGTAGCAGGCATGCCTATAACACGAGACAGGCGGCGAGACAGAACAACTCTGAGCTAGCAGGAACAAACACCCTACCACTACTCTGATGATGGAATCGAGAAAGATTCCGAAACGTCAGCACCAATACAGTGTGGTCCATGGCATCGCCTCTTTTTCTTCTTCGTCTTCTTTTGGGGATGATGAACGGGATATATATATATATATTATGATAGTGGGCGCTCACCGATCAGGTTACGAAACATGCTCGTTCCGTTATGCCTTGGGGCTCATACTTAAACCCTCGCAGGCAGTCGCACAGCGACCAGTGATATATGTTGTGAAGGTGATACCGACAAAGACAAGGGAGACCGGAATGGCCATTTCTGGCTTATTAGCCGTCATCAGCCAGTCATACCCAACCCCAAGTGTGGATCACTTGAGATTCGAACCCGGGATCTTTGGTCATGGAGTTGAACGCTCTACCATTGAGCCACTATCATAATTAATATTCCCGATCACAACCGACAGGACAACGGGCCCGTGGCTCAATGGTAGAGCGTTCAACTCCATGACCAAAGATCCCGGGTTCGAATCTCAAGTGATCCACACTTGGGGTTGGGTATGACTGGCTGATGACGGCTAATAAGCCAGAAATGGCCATTCCGGTCTCCCTTGACTTTGTCGGTATCACCTTCTCAACATATATCACTAGTCGCTGTGCGACTGCCTGCGAGGGTTTAAGTATGAGCCCCAAGGCACAACGGAACGAGCATGTTTCGTAACCTGATCGGTGAGCGCCCACTATCATAATATATATATATATGCATAAATGAAGTAATATGCATTCGGAGATGATATGATGAAAGGAGGATATCCGTCGGAAATGGCGTTTTGCTTGTAAATCTTCGAGCTGGTTGCATCAACCCGTCGCCAGACACTTCACTTGACTTAACTCGGGAACCCTCAGGTTGTCTTAGTGTGTCATAAGAATGCTCGAGAGGGGTGGACAGTAAGAATATCTCCCATTCACATGTTGAGATGCCGCACAAGCAAACGGCTCTTTAAAAGTGTTTCTGTTCTCTTGTGTCACTTTGTCGACGCAGTAATCAGTGAAGCGCCTCTGCAAAACAAAAGGCTGTCTGTTGTTCCACTTATGAATGCTGTAGGACAAGTAGAAGTCGGCGCGTTGTGGCGTACGTGCGGAGCTGCGCGCTCCTCGATCAGTCTTGCTCAAGTTAGTAGACGCTCATTGGATTATAATGAGTTGTCGTTGCCTTTTGAAGCCCCGCCACAAAAGACACTGCACAAATGGCCACAGGATTAGAAACCATGGCACCAGACTGTATTCCATGACACTCGCGACGCTACCCCAGACACAGGTGAACCATCACGACTGTCATAATCTACCCGAGCGTCGTTTACGATCCCCGTCCAATGACATTTAAGAGAAAGCGGCGACCGTCCTGGCGACTGCAGCTCACTTCCCCTGGCCTTGTAATAGTACTTATTTGCTATCAATGCGACTGCGTCAAATGCCTAGGCGGTTAAGGGGGTTCATTTCTCCAATAAACCCCACAGTTCTGAAGTTTCGGTGTAACACCAAGGAACAGCCGGGCCTGTGTGCATCAAGCAGGATTTCGTCCCCCCAAATGGACTTCGCTGTGACATGAGCTCACCAAGGCATCGATCCTTGATCCCGAAACGCTTCTCCTCAAAGTGGAACGGAGTGACGAACTGCTTTCGCAAACTGCTCATCAGAATACCACCACCAGGTTGTTTTGGAAGCAGTGTCGTGAGACCATTTAAACACAGACGCTTTCTCCAGGTGGGTCATATGACCACCCACTTCGTTAAATTCTCTATGCAGCACAAACACTCGGTTCGTGAGGGTTTAGGGGCCAAATGTATCGAAAGCATTTAAGGTATAATTCGAGGACATTGAAATATTGACAGTCCGGTGGACGACTGGCACTTAGTTAGGTAAAACGATTTGGTCGGCCGAGCTTTTTTGTTGACAGACTGCCTCGCGCAAATCTTAAACGAAAATCCCTTTGCAGACCAACCCGTAAACCCGCTATATTCGTCAAAAGTTTATGCGCTGTCACACTGTTTTACCAATCTTTTATGCGAAACTAGTCAGACGGTTATTGGCTATTGTCTGACATGTGATGCAAATAGCTCAGGTGAGCCAACCGCAAAGGGTACTGTTTTTTAAGCCGACAAGGACCACGAAAAAGTAGGTAGTTAGCCAAAGTCCTGAGTGATGCAAGAATCCAAATCTTAACTACAACTATCATTAGCACAGGAGTAGGCACGTGATCGTCCCATCGCCGCACACGTTACAGTCGCCGATCGAGCCCACCCAAAAGTGCACAGCATCCAGAAGAAACCGGCAGCGACCTTGAATCGGTAGAGGGGCGCTCACCAGTCGTTTCTACAGAACGAACTCCTTCCGTTGTGCCTTACGGGCTCCCTGTCGAGCCAAATCAGCAGCCGCACAGCGGCGCATGATTTAGGCAGAATGTTATAACCGACAAAGACAAGGGAGACTGAAATGGCCATTTCTGGCTCGAGAGACAGAGAGCCCGCAAGGCACAAAGGAACGAGTGAGTTCCGTAGAAACGGTCGGACAGCACAACGAGCCCGTGGCTCAGTAGTTAAAGGCGTCTGACTTCCAACTAAGAGGTCGCGAGTTCGAGTCCCAGATGTTCCACACCTCGGGGTTGGGTATGACTGGTTGACGACAACTAATAAGCCAGATACGGCCATCCTAGTCTCCCTTGTCTTTGTCGGTAATAGCATTCTGGACTTGCATCATTCCGCCCGAGTGCCAATCAGTACCAGTGGTGTGCATCTTCTGATTGGCAACTACGCCAAGCGCTTAGTCGGCCACAAGGAGGATGTCCATCCGGGGGGGGGGGAGAGGGGCGAAGAAGTCTAGAGGTCCGAATTGCTCATGCAACCATCTTAAGTCTAAGAATACCTCAACTTCCGCATATCAAGAGTGTTACTTTGTTCCGCCAGACAGACTTTGCTGCTGCGTGAGTTAGCCCCAACATGGGTCCTTGGTTCAATGGGGGAGGTGGTAAGAGTAGGTAGAGCAAAGCTGCTGGTCCAAATAGCGTCACAGGGTTGTTGTTGTTTTTTGTTGGTTGCAGTGGCGAGGTGCGAGCGTGCAAACACTGGCGCTGGTGGTGTGTGGGTGGGTGTATGTGAGTGCACGTGCGTGTAAAAAATCGAAAAAGGTAATAAAATGAAGCCTGTAAGGTCACAATCTCAAACGATAGATCAGTGAGTGAAGAGTAGGAAATCAAGGCACCTGATTGCAAAGTAAAAAAAGGACAAAGGGGGAAAGGACTGCAGCAAATTGGGTTTGATGGGAGCGGGAGGAGGGGGGAGAGGGGGAGGGGGCGAAAGGCAAGACTTGGACTGACATAAAAAAATAGACGAGAGTGAGGCGAGTGTATGTGAGCTCTTTCTGGCTGCCGGAATGCAAATTTTTGAGAGACGCGACCACCGGAGGGACGAGGGTTGACAAAAATGAGCAAGGGCTGTGGAGATCATCTGAAAAGGAGATTTGAAGGTGTACGAGATCACACTCAATCACATCATTAGTGGACGGCAAACAAAAAAGAAGCCAGCCCTGATAAAGATAAGATATTCGAGTCAACAAGCCTTTCTTTATTGGATGATCTTACCATCGCGTAGCTTTGGCTTTTCGGGTCCTGCCCGGCCAGTTGGGCCAAAAACTGGCCAGAATAATCCTACTATTAATACTTCTAATTTTCTACTCGCTGAGGAACGTTGAATTATGGAAGTCAAGGTCAGGTCATGTCAAAAGATCGAAGATCAAGAATTGCAGGCCAACATCCATGAGCACACACTCAGGACTTATTGAGACCAAAATAACGATAGATGCAGGACACTATTTCTATCAACATGCCATGAACAGTAGGACCCAGGCTTTCGTCTAAGGTCTTCTTTGCAAGCCTGGAACACAAATCCGAAAGTAAAAATATCTAAACAGTGTGTACTTTTCGGTAGCCTTTTCTAGGATACAGATTTTACAGTCTTCAGTTAATCGTAACCCCGGAGTTGA